AGGTTTGTGTGACATTATGTCGAATTTGCTTTCTTTCCTCCCTTTTTTTGTTTTGTCCCAATACACACAAAGGGAATAAACATGTGTATAGCAAAACATGTGTTAATGCAATACGTTTCGTGAGAAATACATGATTTCCTGGAGAAATATCAAGGGTGCCAACAATTTCGGCCATGACTGTATATATATATATATGTAGATCGTCCTCAAAAGAGGATTTACAAAAAATTCCCCGAGTACACAGGGTAATTTAGGCCCATATAGCATGCCCTTTTAATACCATAAATGCTCTATAGATCTCAACAGCCGTAAGCTAAAATAACTTGCCACCGGTGGAAGATAAATTTCCCTAAAAGATTGCCGTTTGCGGACCGCTGCAATAGTAGCCTTATGGTAGTTTTCAGAGGGTCAAGGGCCTTCCTAGCAGAGAGCTGTGACACCGCCGTTCCTTCCCGCCTCATGGGCGCCGCACCCAGTGAAGACGCCGAGCGTATTGACGTCCACTACGCTCGGCGTCTTCACTGGGTGCGGCGCCCACGAGGCGGGAAGGAACGGCGGTGTCACAGCTCTCTGCTAGGAAGGCCCTTGACCCTCTGAAAACTACCATAAGGCTACTATTGCAGCGGTCCGCAAACGGCAATCTTTTAGGGAAATTTATCTTCCACCGGTGGCAAGTTATTTTAGCTTACGGCTGTTGAGATCTATAGAGCATTTATGGTATTAAAAGGGCATGCTATATGGGCCTAAATTACCCTGTGTACTCGGGGAATTTTTTGTAAATCCTCTTTTGAGGACGATCTACATATATATATATATATATACGCTATCCTATTCAGGGTTTGTGCTGTGACATAGCCATATCCTCACGAAACCGCAATAACCCTCTCATTTTGAGTAATTTTTGGAAACCCTTTATTGGGTATAAATACTCAGGCCTGTACAGCCTGTTACATGCTATATACATAGTATATGGAGCAATAATCTTCTCATTTTGAGTAATTTTTGGAAACCCTACATTGGGTCTAAAAAATCAGGCCTGCATAGCCTGCTATACGCCATATACAGTTTATGTGTTTGGAATCCATGTATTGTGACTACCTGGCTTCCCACCCCTACATGTATCTTGGAAAAGCATCAAGGACCTGATCTTATTTCAAGTCGACAGAAGTCTTCTTGATCTTCATTTATGGTAATATACCCACTTTATGCGTGTCTTGTTTTCAGGGTGACCTGATGCCCACGATTTTTATATGTATCATTATTTTTCTATATATATCCTCAGAATCATTTGGTACTGTGGACCCTGTTTCACTTGGGGTGGCTATCCAGGAAGTCCCTACATTTGAGAAGTTGGCCTGTTAATTTCACTATTGAGAAGGTAATAGTAGTATCCATTGACTACTGTAGAGGGAGGTCTGGTGAACTTTGGATGTGTTTTGGTTTTTTGGTTTTCATACTTCTATATATATACTATGTATTTCTGTGTTCCAGCTGTTTCATACCAGGAGATACCTGACATATATTGGGAACACATCTGCTGAATACATGGTTCATTTGAATACTAGATGAAAACCCATGGAAACCCAGGATAACTACATCACCACTATATAACTCTGCCTTATGGTACTCTATTTGCTAAGATGACCTGAAACTGAAGACGCCTAGTGCTTTTTAACATGATTTTATTTATTTTTTTCATATGTACACCGTGCTCATGTTTAACCTCCTTATGATCTATGTGATCAAATAAAGTATTGTTTGGAATATTTTTGAAATTATATTACTCCGCGTGGATCACCTAGTAACCTTCTTTTTCCAGGTAGGGGTGTTCTTGTCACACTACCATTTTGCTTAGTATGTACCTTTTGGGTTTATGGATCCACACTTATACAAGTGAGTCGGAGATAAGTCAATGACACCAGCTATACGTGTCATTCTGGGTGGCCTGTTTGTGTTTTATTGTTGTGACCTGCTGGTGTACCTATCCTGCTGGTTTCAGGTAAGCCTTACACTGCTGTAGCAACTGGTCTCTGAACCCGACCCAGACCATGACAGTACCACTCCCTGTCGTTAATGTAACCCATCTTCCTGTAATTCTTTTTCAAAACAAAAAAAAAATTAGTTTTGGCTTCTTTAGTCAAAAGAAGGCAAAACTTTGCTATCAAATATGGCATACATATGTCATGCACCTTAAGACTCACCAAGTGGCACCAGTAATTGGGAACCACTTCTTAAAAGTAGGTTTGAACCATAAAGGATTTCATGGGGGATATGCAATCAAGAGATAGTGTTTAATTGCATGGACCTATGCCAAGCTAGAAATTGCACTGGCAGCTCTGTGGAGGAATGGTATATACAAGATTGCATAGATGCTCAATGTCCTACCAACACAGTGGATGCAGCATTAGGTACGTTGTTACTAGTGGAGTCCATTCATCTATAGAGGACAATGAAGCAATACAATGATAATCATTTGCTGAGAGCCTTAGAGAAGTGGAGGACCCATCTTTTAACAGGTGAAGTAGAATTATGCCAAATGAAAGTTAAAACCAGTCTGAGGTATGCTGCTTAAGAAAACTAGAAGAAGGGAATACCACCCTGCATCCCTGGTGGCCCTGGCTGGTTAGCTTTGGAGGAGAGAGGGCATGCTCTTTTTTTATACTCATTTTCTTTAAATGACCTGTGTTTTTAATACAGGTTCAGCACTCTCTAAAGACAATCAATGAAGTTTTAGTAGAAGCTTAAACCAGGTGAATTTAGTAAAAAAAAAAATAGTTTGAGAGAACATTAGATGAATTTGCAGGGAAGGTTACATTCACCCTGTTCTTATAGACATTTTTCTGTCGAACAGATGCTGCGAAATGTCTGTGAATGAATAATTATAAGTAAATATTGGGCAAATTTTGGATGAAATTGTTGATAACTACACCCAGGGCTGGGACAAGGGGTGGGAAGAAGGGGCACCTGACCTGGGTGCAGAAGCACTGTGTGGAGAGGGGGCACCAAGAGACCATGATCACTCCCCTCTCCAGGTACCTGAATGGCAGGCGATGCTGTCACCACTTCTGTCATTCATAACAGAGCACAGTGCAGGGCTGCAGTTACAAAGTACAATTCTCCCTCTAGCAGTGGGACTGGATGTCCTCCCCCTAACTCCTTCAGCAGTTTCAGGCACACTGGTGCAGGACAACCTAGAAGAGGATACTACAGGTTACTGCTGCATGTTGTGTGGGCGGGATGGGGATGCAGCCGGCCTCAGAGATCTCACTCACCTGCCTGCCGCATGAAAGAGGGAGATGTGAGCTGAGCGTGTGCTAAGGTAAGCTCAGTCGCGATATTTGATGTCATTGCTGCTGCTCCCAGTTCATCATCAGAGCACAGGAAGTATGGGAATTGGGACTGGAGAAGACTGGAACTGAGGAAGGGGTTAACATGACCACCAATGCAGATGGGGTATGAGGGGTTAACGTTCGCCGCATGACAGTGAAATTCTAACCCACCACTCCTGCATTTGTGGATAATATCAGTGAAAGTTACCCCCCCTCCTCCCACATTGGTGGTCATGGGAGGGGGTTAAATTTCAATGCCTCTGACTACCAAGGTTGGGGAGGGGGTTAATAATACTGACAGCTGTGCGGGGAGTTATTATTGTGCCCACTGGCATCAATGGTGGGAGTTATTGCGTGCAGTAATGCCAATTCTACGGGTTATTAATGCATCCACTGGCATCAATGGTGGGAGTTATTGCATCCATGACACCTGTGCTGGAGTGTTTTATAGTGTCCACTGACACCAATGCTGGGAGTTATTGCATGCACAAACACGTGTGCTGGGACTTATTACACTGACTTCAATGCTATGGGTTATTAATGCGTCCACTGATTCCAGTGTTGGGGGTTATTCTTGTGTTTGGGGGGGGTGCCCGAGTTTCCAAATGGTCAGTCCGCCCCTGATCCCAAGCTACATTCGGGAATACCTCCAGGGAGGGTTAAAGTGATTCTAAAGGAAGAATGCTTTTTTACCTTAATGCATTCTATTCACCTCCTGATGTGCATGAGAGCAGCAGCTCTCCTGCTGTCAATCTTATTCAGTGAACCAATGAGGAGAGAGTATGGGGCAGGGCCGAGTCCTGACAGTGCCCATTCACAGGAGTGCAGCTTGAGAGCAAGCCTGCTCAATTGCACCCAGAGCAAGAGCCTTGTTATTGGGGGCCCTCAGAAGGGAGGAAAGGCCAGGACCGCTGGTGGGGGACCCGAGAAGGGGGAGAATTGGGGCTCCTCTGTGCAAAACCATTGCACAGAGCAGGTAAGTATAACATGTTAGTTATTTTTTTTTTTTAATTCAACCTTTAGAATAACTTTGCCACATTGTACTGAGCACTGAGATATGATACTCCTCATCAACTGTGATATTTGAATATTTCCTGCTTTACATAGTGAGACTCTGAGATTATTTTCCTATAGATTTCATGTTATATAAACAGTTTACCATGAAGGTCAATGATCTGTGTGAGTGACAGACCAGACCCATCAAGATGCTTCCTCTGACATATCTACTCTGTGTCTTCTATGTCTACATCCAAGGTGTGAAAATATTCAGTTTATTTTGTCAGATGTAAAATAATAGTTAGGAAGGTAAAGGGATGCATTTTTATCTTGTCTATTTCTTGTCTATTTAAAAAAAAACTTTCATAACTAAACTAGAATAGTTTTTTCATCAGATAATAATAAATGAATAACACTGTTAGGTGTTCTGATTCATTATAAACATATCCTAGATCCTTACAAAGAGCCTAATTTGTTACATATAGACAATTTCAGCTGAATATTGTTGCCTCTTATGATGAAATTTATTGATAATGATTATGTCTCTTCCCATCCTCAGGATCCTGTGGCGAGATTGTGATGACTCAGACTCCGGATTCTATCTCTGTGTCCCCGGGACAGACAATGAGTGTGACGTTGTACTTCTAGTAAAAATCTATATTATTCTAACGCAAGAGCTCACTTAATAGCCTGGTACCAAAAGAAAGCAGGACAACCTCCTAAACTCCTCTTGTATCACACCAGTACTCGAGCATCTGGGATTCCAGATAGGTTCAGTGGATCTGGATCAGGAACTCAATTCACAATGACAATACAAAGTGCGACTGAAGATGATGAAGGAAGATATTACTGTCAGCAATATATTGAGTACCCTCTCACACAGTGATACAGAGCCGTACAAAAACCTCCTTCCTCTTTTTGGATGCCATGTGTTTATGCTGTATTTGATAAGTTCTAATAATTTCCAAGTACAACGCTGGGTTTTGAAAATTCATCCCTGCAAATAAATCCAGGTTTCACATTTCAGGTAACCTACTTTAACAACTTTCCTATGGGGCACTTTCACCCCCTTTTGTGTCCAGGCCAATTTTCAGCTTTCACTGTTGTTGCACTGTGCATTACAATTGACAAGTCATGCTACACCAGCAATGGGCAAACTACGGCCCGGCGGACCTTTTAATCCGGCCCGCGGAGCTAGGCTCCCGCAAGGCCAGTGGTCGGCAAGCCGCGGCTCTTTACAAATTTAGATGCGGCTCTCCTGTGTGCCGGGCGCCCGCTCCCCTCCCTCCTCTCCTCCTCTCCCCTCCCTCCTCTCCTCCTCTCCCCTCCCCTCCTCTCCTCTCGGATGGCCGCCCCCCCTCTCGGATGGCCGCCCCCCTCCCTCCTCTCGGACGTCAGGACTCTGCAGCTGTCAGGATGTAGGCGGGGCAGCGTGACGAACTCCTCTCACAGTCCTCCCTGAAGACCAGAACGGCGCGGGGAATACGAGAGGAACGCGCGGACCAAAAAGGTAAGTGAATTGACACAGGGGGGGGACTTACTATATGGGGGATGAATTACTATATGGGGGACTTACTATATGGGGAATGAATTACTATATGGGGGACTTACTATATGGAGGACTTACTATATGGGGAATGAATTACTATATGGGGGACTTACTATATGGGGAATGAATTACTATATGGGGGACTTACTATATGGGGAATGAATTACTATATGGGGGACTTACTATATGGGGAATGAATTACTATATGGAGGACTTACTATATGGGGGATGAATTACTATATGGAGGACTTACTATATGGGGGATGAATTACTATATGGAGGACTTACTATATGGGGGATGAATTACTATATGGGGGACTTACTATATGGGGAATGAATTACTATATGGGGGGGGACTTACTATATGGGGGATGAATTACTATATGGAGGACTTACTATATGGGGAATGAATTACTATATGGAGGACTTACTATATGGGGAATGAATTACTATATGGGGGACTTACTATATGGGGAATGAATTACTATATGGAGGACTTACTATATGGGGAATGAATTACTATATGGGGGACTTACTATATGGGGGATGAATTACTATATGGGGGATGAATTAATATGGGGGATGAATTACTATGTGGGGGATGAATTACTATATGGGGGATGAATTACTATGGGGGATGAATTACTATATGGGGGATGAATTACTATGGGGGATGAATTACTATAGGGGGGATGAATTACTATGGGGGACGAATTACTATATGGGGGACGAATTACTATATGGGGGACGAATTACTATATGGGGGACGAATTACTATATGGGGGATGAATTACTATGGGGGATGAATTACTATATGGGGGATGAATTACTATGGGGGATGAATTACTATATGGGGGATTAATTACTATATGGGGGATTAATTACTATGGGGGATTAATTACTATGCTTACTATGGGGGAATATTACTATTACTTACTATGGATGACACATACACATCATTCATCTACTCTTGGTCCGGCCCCCGGGTCCAATATATGAACCCATTGCGGCCCTCAAGTCAAAAAGTTTGCCCACCCCTGTGCTACACTGTATCCATACAAAATGTTCATATTTTTTTCACACACAGAGATTTCTTTTGGTGGTATTTAATCGCCATTGGGTTTTTTATTTTTTGCACTATAAACAAAAGAGTTGGAAAAAAATGTTTTTCTTTGTTTCTATTATAAAATTTTGCAAACAGGTAATCTTTTTTCCTTCACTGATGTGCATTTGATGAGGCTGCACTGATAGGCAGCACTGCTGGGCACTGATGAGGTGGCATGGATAGGCAGCCCTGATGGACACTGATAGGCTGCACTGATGAGGTGGCACTGGTGGGCATTGATGAGGAGGCCCTGATGATGCTGCACTGATATGCAGCAATGATGGGCACTGATAGCCAGCATTGATCGGCGGCACTGATTGACAGCACTGACTGACAGCCCTGTTTGGCAGCACTGACTGATGGCACTGCGGGGGGGGGGGGTACTGATGGATGGCACTGCTGGGCACTGATGGGTGGTACTGCTGGGCACTGATGGGATGCCCTGATGATCAGTGCCGATCTGCTCTGTAACAGCTGCCGGTTATCAGCAGTACTTTCCTCATGCGACTATCTTCTGGCAGTAGCTATTGCCACTAAGAAAAGTTGTGCCACTCACAGAACCCATACCATTAGACATAATTAATGTGTTTGGTGCTTTATCCCCCCCCAAAAACAAACCCACTGCCCACTCATTTAGTACTGAGCTCTCTCACTCCTCTACCCCACCTAAGTTTACACTACCTTCATCAGTATACTTGGTTATACTTTCACTTTACCATTTTAATTAACCGATTGCCAACTGTGTACTGTAGCTTTACTGCTACAGAGCAGGGCAGCTGTGAAAAATCATGTATATACATGATTTTGCTTTTCCGGGTAGGGTGCGCGTACCCGCCTACCCGCACTATCATTGGCTGCCTGGCATGCAGGTTAACGGGTTCCAGCTGATGATTCACGGATGGGACACATCAATCGTCACAGTTACTGACATGACAGAGATCTGTGTTGGTAAGATCTCTCTATTGACAGCGTGGCTGTGCCTGTTTTTGTCTCCTTGCAAAGGGAGAGAAAAACCATCACATCCCCTAGTAAAACAGCACACAGTAAACACATTACATTTAGTAAGGCACACAGTTAACCCTTTGATCGCTCCAGTTGTTAACCCCTTCCTGCCCAGTGTCATTAGTACAGTGTCGGTGCATTTTATTAGCACTGATCACTGTATCGGTGTCACTAGTCACATCAGTGTCAGTTAGCCAGTGTCAGAATGCGCACCATACTATCACAGTCCCGCTATAAAGGCACTGATAGCTGCCATTACTAGTATAAAAAAAAAATTCCAGTATGTATATCATCATTTGTAGACACTTTGATTTTCACGCAAACCAGTTAATATACACGTATTGGGATTTTTTTTTTACCAAAGACATGTAGCAGAATACATTTTTGCCCTACATTTATGAAGACATTTTATTTTTATATTTTTTTTATGGGATGTTTTATAGCAAAAAATAAAAAATATTGTTTTTTTCAGAATGATCTGTCTTTTTTCATGTACAGCTCAAAAAATAAAAAAAACACAGTGGTGATCAAATAACTCCAAAAGAAAGCATGACCGCACAATTAGTTAATTAAGTTAACCACTTCCAGTCCAGTCCATGTACATAAATGGCAGGGCAGGAGTGGGTGGCCATTTATAAATGTCCTTTTCCGCTTCCCTACCTGTGCGCGCTCCCTGGGAGCACGCGGCACCAAACACTGTGTGAGGTCCTGATCATGTGATCACTGATTGGCCAATCAGTGATCACATGAATAGTAGTAAGCAAGATGTCACTTCCTGACATCATTGCTTACTACTTGTGAAATCTGTGAATGATCACAGAGGTCACATGGTACAAGGGTATTCACAACAGCCTTGTACCATGTGACAAGCTGTGACCAATCACAGCTCTCACAGTATTTCTCAATGGCTGTATGAATGCAGCCAGAGAGAAGGAGAAATGATTGCTTTTACAGCCTTTATGGGTTGTGAAAGCAATCACTGTGAAAAAAAAAAAATCTTCATCACCCCCCACAAGTAGTACAGTGTCACTATGGTGACACTGCACTGCTAGGGTGACAAATATGTTTAAAATAAAAACATAATTAATAGTATATAACAAAATAAAAATAAAAATGTAATGAACATTTTTGAAAAATTATAATTTTTGGTTATAAAACTAATTCGGGTTTTTTTTTTTTTTACTAAAAAGATAGCTGAATACATTTTGGCCAAGATATATGAAGAAAGATTATTTATTTTCAAAATTTTATAAGAAAAACACTTTTTTTTTTAAATGTTTGGACTTTTTCATTGATATAGCAAAAAAATAAAAATCCCAGTGGTGAATAAATACCACCAAAATAAAGTTTTATCTGTCTCAAACAAATGCTAAAAAATGCAATATGGGTACAGTGTTGCATGACCGCGCAATTGTCATCCAAAGTGTAACAGCACCGAAAGCTGAAAATTGACCTGGGCAGGAAGGGGGTAAAAGTGTCCAGACTGGAAGTGGTTAAAGTAGTGCAGCGCCATGTAGCAAGAAATGGCCTGGTCATGAAGGGGGGGTAAATCTTCTGGGAGGGCAAGTGGTTAAGGCAAAATACAAACAACATTTCAGCATTTCTGTATAATATATTAAAGTAAACATCCAGTCAAAATGTTTTCTTTTATCAAGAGTGGGGAAGGATGAGAAACACCTATATGGTTTTTACCGCTATAACGGGCTCTGTTAGAGTGATTTCTTTCCATTTCTATTTCCGCAACAATGGTTTCATCAGGCAGGAAATCATTGCATTCTTGCAACAGGGACACAGGGCTCCATTCACAAAGCTTTATCTACCACTTAAGAAATGCAGGTAAAATGTTGCTCGTGTTTTTCAAAATTTTTTCTGGCATTCACTAAAAAATGCCTTCTAAAATATTACATGTAAATGTGTGAGTTAGCAAGCGCACCAAGTAAAGCTGCTGATGCACAAAAAGGAACCACAAAACCTGGGGGAAGCCATTCCAGTCCAGGAGAGGAGCCAGTACAAGTGTGCAAGACTGAAGGGAGTCGTGGAGGAGAGTTGTTTAGGAGTCCATCCAGGCAGGAGAGAATTTGGGATATAGGTCCAGACCATCATCTCTGGCAGCCGTCACCCTATTTACCACCAGAGGGCACCTTCATCATCAGGCTGTACCTTCACGGACTTTCCGGCTTCATGGAATTTCTATGTGCACATTAAATTGCACTTCCGGTGAGTGGGCAAT